TTTACATAGCTACCCATCCCATGAATGTGACTCTTAAGTGGCAAACAATTGAATTATAACAACTTTTCATTCTGTCTATGAATAACTGATTCTTAAGACTTTGCCAGTTAAGCTATAGTAGTCTATACTGTCACTCAATAATAAACATCTGATAATGTCTGGTGTTCATATTATTTGGTTATTGTCCCCTCTAATGAAAACCTGTAAAAAATGTAAACTATATTCTTACAGGTTTTCATTAGAGGGGACAATAACCAACTAATATGAACACTGGACTTTATCAGATGTTTATTATTGAGTGACAGTATAGACTACTATAGCTTAACTGGCTATATATATCTAACCACCTACTTATATGAATACCAAACATTATCAGATCTTTACTATCAAGTTAAATGTATTTAACATTTGGCAGCCCAACTGTAGGAAATAAATTAACACTTCCTAATAATTGTCCTCCAGCTGAGGTCATTGATCAAGGACCTAGAATCTGGATGTAATTGTGAATGCTAAACACTGTATATTTTCTGAATATTAGTAACAAACAACATGCATTAATAATATAATTACCATTTTTACTATCAGTTGTTTTATATCTTCTATCTGCTCTGTGCATTGAGAAGATTCTTGAATGGGCTATTCAGACCAAGGGAAGTATAAATCTAAATTTTATAACTTTTTAAATAATATAATGACTTTATCACAGAACCTTGGAATATTTTGAAGAGACAGTATAAGTAACCTCCCAAATATTCAAAGAGGGGACATCTTAAAAAGCAGATATCTGTAGGAATGTTCAACCAGTTTATAGCAAAAAGGAAATTTTAAAATGATATACTCTGATATAATATGGCATAAATATGAATATATGTAAGATCAGGAAAAAAAAACATGGTATGTTGTTGGAATAATGAATAGAAAAGTGAACGTATTTGTACAGAATTTTCATAAATCAGATCAAAATTTCCAAATACATAGTCTGTGACTATTTCATAGGTTTATGTGAGTTATTCAAAAATATAAGAATCTATTAAAACAGAAGGGGCAAATAAGTCTAGCACCAATTTTGATTGGTTGTATTTGTGAAAACCAGCTCAAAATGTTAAGTGATAGTGGATTTCTGTGGCCTCACAAGGAAATAAAAATGCTTAGCAATAAAATATTTAGGGCTGTTTTGCTTCCTCACCTCATTATTTCATTCCTTTTGAGAACTCACATTTTCGCATCCAGATCCATGCTATTTTAGGCTGCTGGTTGCTAAGATACATTAACAAGTCTTTGAACTTGCTGTATCAGTAGTACCTGGGACTGGTACATACAATCAATTACAGTAATTTCTCCAAATTAAATTAAAACAGAATGTGCACTAGAATTTAATTTGGTAAAGATTTAGATTCTCTCAGAACTTGTGGCATTAATTGCAGGGGTGCACAGCTTTTGCTTCATGTGATGTAATATTTAAGCCATGCAGTTTTTAAAGCAGAACAACTAAAGAATTAAGAACTCTCCATAGCTATGATATTTAGGAACATTAATCCCTTGGAACAGATAGAAAACTGTCTCCTCTTCTTGCTGAATGCTGATATTGATTTAAAATATTATTACACAATATTGATGCTTCCATGTCACACGCTCAGTGAGAAGAATGTTTTGCCACATATAGTAGCAGTTTCTCTTTTCTTATTTCACAATGTTGAGAACAACTGAACAGTCACCTTCCCATCTGCAAAGCACAAAAAAAAACGTTACAGGGAAAACAGTAAACTGGATCATTACTGTCACTGCTATTGCAGCTAAATTGTTAAAGGAAAATAAATCCACAAGAAGAGCTTACACAGGGTTCCTGTTTAAGATTAGTTTAATTGGAATTCCATCATGAAAATCCATCTTTTTGTATGTGCTCAAATAACCGAAGGAACATAAATTGCCTTTGGGTTTACTAAGGTCAGGAAAATCTTGGTTACTAGCTTTGTATCCTTAATAATGTTTAAACTTTATCTAATAGCCAAGCCAGACCTATTGTATAATAAATTAGGCCTGAGCACCTCCCATTTCCCTTTTGACCAGGATTTAGGTTCAGTTTATGTATATATATCTCCTAAAGCAAAACTAAAATTAATTTTATTTAATCTTCCAGGAGAAGGAAGGGAAATGCATGAATATGATTATTTTTTTTGATCCAGTCATGCAAATTAGTAAAATGCTACTTAGTATACATGTGGTTAGGTATATACAGATATTTACTTAGTGAAGATATACATATATAACCACAGATTAGGCAACCAGGTTAAGCAACCTGGCTATGTTCCTATGATTTAAAAAGAAATAACCTGATGTACTGTGTAAAAGATGAGATATTATGCATTCAGCAGTATTTTCCATTACTGGTAAAGTTTCTACAGGTTTTATAATAGATTATGAAGTCTTTCAGACCACAGAGTATTTTTAAAAAGATGAAAAAAATATGCAGTGTATACTATAGTTTTTCAGTTTCTCTGATCCTGGATAGGTCACTCTTTCACATATATTTTGATAGCATTTGCTTAGATTTTGATCAAAGATGGTGCATATTAGTTGTTCTTTTTAGTGAGAAGTTGGTGAAATAAGTTAAGACTGATTTATTAAAGGCAAAACACAGGGCTTCTATGGGAGTCAGTTCAGTTCTAGATCCATTCCTATTTCTCTCAGATGCAAAACTTTCATTCAATTCACCAAGACAAATTCCTTGTGTGTCCAATCAATAAAGAATTCTCTGTTCTGTTCTGTTCTGTTCTGACAAAATATGACAAAATATTTCTCTATTAGAAGGCTAAGTACAGGGAGTGCTCGACTTCCAACAATACACTTAGTGACTGTTCGAAATTACAATGGCACACTGAAAAAAGTGACTTATGACTGTTTTTCATATTTATGTCCCTGTTACAGCATCCCCATGTTCATGTGATCAAAATTCAGATGCTTGGCAACTGACTCAGGTTTATGATGGTTGCAGTGTAATGTGATCCATTTTTGCGACCTTGTGACAAGGAAAGTCAATGGGGGAGTCAGATTCACTTAACAATCCTGTAACTATTTTAACTACTGCAGTGATTCACTTAACAACTGTTGCAAGAAAGTTCGTTAAATGGGGCAAAAATCACTTAACAAATGTCTCACTTAGTGACAGAGATCTTGGGTTCAATTGTGGTCGTACATCAAGGACTATCTATCTATCTATCTATCTATCTATCTATCTATCTATCTATCTATCTATTTATTTATTTTCCTTAAGTTTTCGCGGGTACTTACATGTATGGCATTCAGCTTTGTTCGGGTATTTTCCCACGTCATTGTAGTTGTGCTTTTAAAGTTGTAGTAATGTTTCGGCAGAATCTCATCTGCCATCATCAGGCTTCTGTATTGTGTTCGTCTGAAACAGATAGATAGATAGATAGATAGATAGATAGATAGATAGATAGATAGATAGATAGATAGATAGATATAGATATATATATATATATAGATATATATATGATGTTAATTTTGTATTTTAAAATAGTTTTTAAAATAATATGTAGAATAACAGATGGAGCAGAAAGCCTTGTGGGTACCACTCACGAGGACCTATTGGTTATGATTTTGTAGACTAAAGTGATTATTACACTGAGGAGCAACCTCGGTTGCTCCAAACTATACGCAAGCAGGAAAGTGCTAGTCAAAACAGCTTTTTAAAAATCTCATTGTAAAATATGTTTTCAGGGAAATGAAACTACATCAGTCTGGAAATAGTCCAGAATCAGGTGCATACATTGAAAGGCAGGGGACTGTGCTCTATTCGGCTGAGGGAGGATTTTCTATTGAGAGATGATAGTTCTCGAATGGCAAAGCCAAGAAATCAATGGCTTTGCTTGCAATGCCAAACACTTCACAGATATTATCTGCTGTACAAGTGTCACGGGCAATTTAACAGAAGATTTCTGGCCCTTCTAGTTACTCTGATAATGTCAGCAACAAAAAGATAACTTTAATGTTGGCTGCTCCTATGCGAAAACTGCCAAAGCTTGGTCTTCTCTTTACTGCTGCAGTATTTTAACCTAAATAGCTTCTGACACATTCTTGGCATTGCATGCACTTGGGGAAAAATGTTAGATTAAAAAACTACTGTAAATCTTCAGATTGTGATTGATTGGAAAAGGGGGCATTAAAATGAAGAGATGGCTGGTTATGAAGTTGCTTTATAGCTGGGGGGAGGGACTATAGATCATGTATGACCTCAAATCCCTTTTTGTAACCCCCTGCCCAGCCCACAAGTATTGAATTTTAGCAGCAAACCAATAAGAAATTGAAACAACTATCCAAGGTTTTGTTGGAAATAGTGAAAAACAGGTGCACGATCTTCCTTTAGGCTTGAAATGAAATTTTCATACTCTTTTTATTTAATATGCCGTAGACAATGAATGTTCTCAAAAATTAGTTAAATACTTGATACCGATATTGGAATAGCCAATTATCCCAATATCTGTACCAAGAAAAGCTAATTGTGCAACCTGACCTAATTGTGCAAATATATTAGCATATTGTACATAATGGAATGGCTTCTACCCAAAAATTCTATGTAGACATTCTGTCTCCTGTATCCCCTTTCCAGCCCTATCTTTTATGGTTCCACTTTGAATTGCCAGCATCTTTTCAAGCATTATGAAATTATTACGCTAGGAAATTGTTCTTTAAGAATGAACACTAAGACTTATGGACAATTGACTCTTGTAGCCAATGCCCACATCTGCACTGTGTGATTGAAGAATGATGAAGCACACATGGATGGGTCAGCAGTGGGGAAAGTGGTAATGCCCCCTACCATATTTTAATTTGCTTTCCTTTTTGTGCTATTTTGCAGGTCTCACACAAATGACTCAGATCTGACGTGTTATCCCAACACTTGCCCTTTAAAAAGTTTTATTCCACCTGGCCTTGGAATAAATCTGTACTTAACCTATAAGTGGCTACACCAAACCATCTCAATGCCTAAGAGCAGCAACGTAACTCAACGAGAACAGAGCAATGAGCCTGTCACAGAATCAGTGGCTGATCTACTGGCTCTGGAGGAACCTGTGGACTATAGACACAGTGTCTTAAATGTGGCTTCAGAAAACTGGAACAAACAGCAAGTTGGGGAAGAAGCAGACGATGACAGGCCAGCATGGAACAACAAGCTACAATACATTTTGGCTCAAATAGGCTACTCTGTGGGCCTGGGGAATGTGTGGCGGTTTCCATATTTGTGCCAAAAGAATGGTGGAGGTAAGTGATCAAGGAAGAAGAAACAGTTCTCAACAGAGAAAGCACCTGCTCTAGTGTAGAGAAAGGAGGCTATTTTGTCTTGAAAGCCATGATTTGCATGTTATATGTGTACACCCTTCATCCTCCATTATTAGCTGGGTTGACCAGATTTTCTGGTTTGAAAGCCAGAAGTTCTCCATCCTTAGCTAACCCAGAGGGACTCTTCCGTTTCAGAGGAGAATCTTTTCCAACTTTCTCTGTAAAGGCAGGTAAAATTTATAATCTACTACTAAGCAATAACTGTTCCCATGACTGTATGGTAAAGCACGTTACTTTAAGTAATTTTTTTGTTGTATTTAGCTTGTATTTAGACTGTTTATTGCCTCCCATCATAAACATCCAGAATCACTTTGTAGGGGAGATGAACAGCATAGAAATTGAAAAGCAAACAAACAAACAAACTAACCCACAACTCTGGATTGACTCACAATAATAAAACCAATATCTATAAAATTGTAAACGAAAAATAAAAATAAAAAACAAAAAACCTGGCATCTCAGTGATCCCCTTGGGATGCCTCACAACCAGTTTCAGGTACCCTCATATCTTATACCTTTGTATAATCAAGAGGACAAATAGAAGCTGTTACCCTAAATCAAACTTTTCATACATTAACACAGATTATTTTCCTAGATTATTTCATAATTCCATCATGAACAAGTCAAGTCCCTTACTTATTTACTTGTTTTGGTAAAAAAACAGCATCTGAATCAACAAAGGACATTTTGCTTGATTTATTGGTGATTCCTTGATTGTGCTAGCAAATCCATGGTGAAAAAATCAATCCATGATTGTCTCAGAAGTATTAAATAAACCCTCTTTACTAAAAACCTCTAAACTAGTAATAATTTTAGATACGTTAACCCGGTTCAGCTTTCTGTGATTTAAATTTGTCAAGTTAGTTGTGATACACAATATTCATTTACCTGTTTAATTTATATTTCACATATAGAATAATATATTATTTGTCATTTTTAAATTAATGATAGTATTTTCTATTATGTAATTCTTTTTTATCCTCTCCAACCCACTGGATAGCTGGAAATAAATTATGTCTCCGGAATCTGTCAGGAGGATAAATCTCTGAAATTCCTTTCCTTTTTAAAAACCTGCACCCAAATCATCTGCACTTCTGATGCTCATTTTATTCTTTTGAATTGCAGTCCAGCAGACTATGCTCCACTAATAGTAGAATAGTGTTAAATAGAAATAGTGTTAATTTGCCATAAATTATTTGTTTCTGGTTCTATTTCCAATCATTTTGATTTTAAACCATATTTATTATTAGCCACCCTAAGATTTTCTTTAATACTTAAAGGCTGAGAGTCCAGTCTCTACATAAATATTGGTAATACAAAGTGCAAACACATCTGCACTTATCTGAGAGCACTTTTAGTGACTATACCTCAATAGAATTGCACTGCCACTGTCCTGAACGTTGAACTTCAGCCTTTTGTGCTGGACCTCAGGCCATCCCAAAGCTTCATCTGTAAAATCATTTTTAAAATATGTTATGCAGGTGTTTTCAGCCTATGGGGTCTCTGGTTATGTGCAATCCTAAGCAACCACTTGTGAAGCTCACCTTGGCTACACAGCCCTTCCTCACTGTTGTCTATATTTCTAGCTGTCTGCACATTGGTGGGCCACCAGAGAGTGCTGTTGTATTAAGAAGGAACCTTGCCATATATCTTGTTTTCCAAGCACAGTTTTGGGAATGAGGATTTATATAGTATGTATACAGTGCACACCTGCATAGAAATTTGACTGACCCTTTCATTCACTATTGATCAAAATATGAAGCAGCTTAGCAATGAATGGTGGTTCTATTGCTATAGGGAATGTTATGGAGATTCATTTAAGATACGCAGCAATGTAAAGGTTTATGCTTTAAAGGTATTTCAGTGTTATATTGTTTTCCTGTGACCATGTTATTTGTTTGTTCAGGTTTTTTTTAATCAGATGCAACCTGTTTAGAGGTTTCACGGGGGTGAGAAAGATTTGGGATGGGGGAGCTAGCTTCCTCAGAGCTGTGGCAAGCATTACACCAATAGTATTGTGTGAATGCCTTTTTTTTTTTCTCAAACTGCTTAACTGGCTATTCTGAATGCGAGGGAGGTTTTTAAATCCTGCTGATGCTGAATGAGCTTGGAATGTTAATAGGAAGAGGGAGGGATCACTTTATGTTAGTGGGTAGCTTCCAAGCGTTCATATTTTTAGATTTTCTGATCAGCTATTTATATTTCTCAATCTACCCAGTTAATTCTTTTCTGTCCATTTAACCTAAGAATTATAGTGCTGCTATTTTAAGAATCTTTTATGAAGAAGTTTTCATCTAGCTGCATTTCCAGGAATTGGGTTTTTTTTTTCAGCACAGAGCTGCTGTGGGGATAATAAATGCAAAAGGCAGCATATGATTATGGTAGATGTGAGGTTGATGAGGACATTGATTGGCTTGGATAGCTTGCTGAGCAATATTTTGCTTAACCATTATTTATTAAATAAATCACATCTGGCTGGGCTCACACCAGAGGCCGTTCTACAAAATATGTATAAAATGTACATTGCACTGAATCAGAACCAGACAAGGCTTATGATGGCTTAGCATAATCACTGAATGTCTATCTGAAAATGAAACGGATGATAACCCTACAAATATGCATGTACATTTATTGTAAAAAGCTTAGTCGTCCATCCACTCATCAAATTTATATGCTGCTGAAATCACTGCAGACCTTGAGTGGTTTATGTACCCAATATCCATTTCTAACATTAAAAACTCATCTGATAAAAATAAAACTAATTAAATATAAAAAATGTACAGTAATTAATTAAAAAGGAAACAAAAAACAAACTCAAAGGGCAGATTCGATAGACCACTAGGTCTTTTTCTGCCATCAGTTGTCTAAGCTTGCAAAACTTCCTGCTAATATACAAAGGTTATTAACATTTCCATGTTTCTACTCTCTCTAGTGCAATTTCTAAAACTAATACCAAATGATCTGCAAATACCCTTAACTATTAACTTAGACAATAATATTAACCCCCATAAGTCTCTGATCTTATGTCTTTGTTCAGTACCTCAAAAACCAAAGTGAACAAAAGTGGAGTCAGTGGACATCTTTCCCTTTTCTTTTTTTAATTTTCCGAAGTTTTGTTTGTTCTCAATTAACAATTATTTGTGCTTTCTGAAAAGTGCAACTAGATTTCACCCATTTAATAAAATTATCTCTAAGGTTCATATGTCCCAGAATTCTAAACAAAATAACCCAATTCAAATTGTTAAAGGCCTTCTTGCATCTATGAATATCAATGCAGCTTGTTTTTCATTATGTTGCTCCAAGTATTCCAGAATATTTAAAATTTTTCTAATATTATCTCGTAGTTGTCTTTTAGATAAAACCCATATTGGTCTTCATTAACCTTCTTTAATAAATACAGTATATTAGTTGATCGTTTCTTGTTCAAAGCAAATCTTGTCCCTCTTAAGGCATTAACGTTATATTTTCTGCAATCAATCTGGTTAAATGCCTTTATCTGCAAGTTGTTCTAGTGAGCACCCACATCGTTCTCCCAGTTTGACAGCTTTCTTTGTAGTGTCAATTTACTGTGGTAAAAGTAAAAGGCAGGCTTCTCCTTTTCTTCTGTTTTGCTTCTATCCTTAACACTTTAGTCCCAATTATCTCTCTATAGTTACAGTCCCACAACATAGTTCATATTATTCTTTTCTTTTTATTTTGTAAAATCTTCTAACTACTACTGTCCTTAAAAGTAAACAGTCAACATTCCCAGGAAGGTGTGTTCTAATTAATTTTATTATTTTCAAAGGCACCTTTGTCAGAAAAAAAAGATCTTCTATTTTTGAAATCTCTGTCCCCTTTGTCTGGTTGAAACTTTTCTTAGGTCACAATCTTCTTAAATTTTTGACTTTTAAATTGAAATGCCTTAAAATAGAATCCCCTGCCTTAATTTGAAAAGTAAGCCATTCACCAAAATCTTCACTGCCATTTGGATATCTCTCTCAGGTTATCTCTGTTAACTTGGGTTATCTCTGTAAGGCTGAATAGCAGTTAAGGGCACATTATAAATTCCCTTGGGTCCCAAGTCACTCAACTTGCAACTGGTCACAAGTAACTCAGTTCCTGTGCTCCTCTCATGGGGAACAATTCTTCCAGAGCACAAGTGGGCAATCACCTGATTTCTCCTTCCTCCAGAGAAATTTATCTCTGGAAAAAAAAACTTTCTCCTGGTGTACTGTGCTGTTTCTGCTTGTGGAGCCCCTGGTGGAGAAAACTAAACAACCATATCAACTCACCCAGAAGCCCCTTTTACTTTTTCTTTCAGCCTTGATGCACATTTCTTTCTCTTTGCAGAAAATCTATATCCTACTTCCTGTATTTATCAGAAATGTGGCAGATGTCATTCCCTCAGAGAGACTTTAATGATCCAACTCTGCAATTCTAAAACAGAAGCAATTCTAAAACAGAAGCAATTCTAAAACAGAAGCAATTCTAAAACAGAAGCAATTCTAAAACAGAAGCAATTCTAAAATAGAAGATGTTGTGGCCAGTTGTTTATTTCTCCAATTCCCTTTGGGGAAACATAAAAAGCCATGAAGCAATGTGATAAAGCAAGGTTTTTGCTTCAGAGCTGAATAAAAATGTGACCTTATTCTGAAGAGCTAACAGAAGCCACATGCTGTCTGAAACCCCAAAGGGTTTTTTTTAAAACCTTTGCCTCATGCATGCTGTTCGATCTGCCTACAAGTGTCCAAGGTCTGATGATGTTTTCTTGTGATCTGTAGCAGAAAAAGAAATGTCTCTAATTAAACGTTCTTTTCCCTTTCAGGTGCTTATCTAGTCCCCTATTTCATCCTGCTCATCCTTATTGGACTCCCTCTCTTTTTCCTGGAACTGGCCGTAGGGCAGAGAATCCGCCGGGGCAGCATAGGAGTGTGGAATTATGTTTGCCCTCGATTAGGTGGCATTGGATTTGCCAGCCTCTTAGTGAGTGATTGGATGAGTTTACATGTCTCATACAGGCTATAAATGGGTGGATAATATTATGTAGGTGGTTTTGAGAAAAAATCCGGATCTAGTAGTAAATTTGTGCACGATTTATAGTAGGTAGACCAAAATTCGTAACTCCTGGTTATCAAACAGAAACAGCTAAAAAGGAAAGGGAAAAAAACCAGGTTGATTAGCTCAATAAATTCTTCTAAAATTTAAGATGTTTGGGGTTTACTGAATAGGGTTTATTTGTTTTTTTTGCAATTCCATTCTATAGTGGTTCATAAAATAAAGCTTTTGTGTACAGTATATACATCTGCCTGTTGACGCATGTCAAAGTTCTAACAGGAAAAAAAGAAGATAATGCCTAGCCATCAAAAATCTAGCAGATATGTTAATTTTCCAGCACCTCTAGCTAAAGGTGATTAATTATGAAATAATAGAATAAAAATATGTTGATATGTGGAATCAATTAGGGATCTGAAATTCATGCTTAGGACAGCTTTTTTTTAAAAAAAAAAGAAAGCAAAAAACTGCACAATAAAGGGAATGTCACCAAAATTAAATGTGTTATATGTTCTACTTGCATGTATCAACATTCATAGCCTTCTCCTCAAACTCCATTTTTCTCTGATTAGGAATTTAGGAAATGATCAGGCTTTTAGCATAAGAAAAAAAAAATAAGCCATTTAGATTGGGGACATTATATAAAATGTGCTAACTTCTAACTTTTAAACAATTGCATAACAGTACATTACAACTGCAAAAGATTTAATTCAGTATTGGAGAAATATTACAAGTCATCCTGAAAAGAATTTATTTCTAAGTGAAATGCCTAAAATGTCTAGCCGTCTAATGGATGCAAAAGAAATGTGGTCTTGCTGGAAGATCTAAAAAGGAATAAATATTGCTGAGAACTAGGGAAATTATGATGAAGTAAAGCATAATGTTTGAGATCATTTTGCATGTTCTTCTACTGGATTTTACAATATTATATAAATTGTAGTTAATGTGGGAACTTAGCTCATTAGGAGAATCGTGCTGGTGGAGAACAACCATTTTTCAGTGGAAAAGATGGCAGCTTATGAAGCTGCGCTTGGGTTCCTTAATTTAACACCATCAATTTCCAGCAAAAATCTCTTTCCTAAAAGTTCCACTGACCAGTTATTTGAGGATTATTAGAATAATGTAACCATTTTATCAGCATTTTATCTCCATACTATACTTTCTTGCTATTATTATTAAATTCAACTTAATTGAAAAAACATGAAGTCAAAATTCAGTACAAAACAGAATGCTTCATCTTCTCAAATTATTTGTTTCTGCTTTATTCAACATTTATCAGATTTCTCTTTTGATTTAATGGCAATAGGTCAAGCTCATCAAATTTTAGTTAAGATAAATTTCTGTTTCAACTTATGTTTTTTTTTTTAAATTTCACCTGAAAAACATTTTATATTTGGCTCAGGAGCTCTTATATAGTTTGACAGTTGCCATCTTTTCAATCAATGTTCCATAGGAGGATCATAAGGCAGAACATCCCATGCTGGATTACTCCTTTCTGAAAATCACTGAGCAGCTGGCAAATGGGAAAATAATAAAGTCTTTCAAGCAGATCATTCTATGACCATGTTAAACCCAACAAATGCTGGTTAAGGATCCATACACTACAGAGGGTTAAACTTTTATACACAAAGGGATTCTATGAAATGTATATTATTGTAGTACTCATATAATTTACCTGCACTGAACGTATTCCATATTTGCTTTCTTGGAAAATTCTGATTCAAAATTATCCACACATTCAAAGGAGAAATACATAAACATCCAGATGGGCTTCTGCGATAGGCTTCTGCATCACATTTAATGTACGTTCACATTTCTTGCTCATGCACACTCTATTCATTTCAATGGGTGAAATAAATCTATGCCATCAACTGAGTGAAAACATGATCTACAGTCCTTGAATTAGATTGGCTCTTCGGGAGCATTCTGTTGGCATATAAATCCTCCCAGATCTATGGCAACTTGGAGGTTAAATATGTTCACAAAACTATTCATAATGAAAGTCCAGATATTTGCTAAATAAATTAGCAAATAAATGGCAATGGGCCATTTTTCTGGGGTTCACTTTAGAAGGTCCTCTTCCTTTGTTTGAATGAAATATTATTATGTAAGAGCTAGACATAATTTCAATTTCCTTTTGCCAGGTCTGTTTGTTTGTTGGACTCTATTACAATGTGATCATTGGATGGAGCATCTTCTACTTTTTCAAATCCTTCCAGTATCCTTTACCTTGGAGTGAATGTCCTATTTTAAAAAATGGCTCAGTGGCAAGTGAGTAGCCAGTTTTTGCAACTCTCTCTATAGGGAAAAGAAGATGAGGCAAATTTCCATTCTAATTGTTTACTTTTTATTAGAATAATAAAAGCCATAAAGTTAATTGTTGAAATAGTACTTAATGCTGCTTCTTGTTAATCCCACTTGAAAAAGGGTAGGATGTGATGTGCTCACCGTTTTTCTTCCTTCTGTGAAAAGCACGAAGTATTCATTTGCCTATATCTGAAAGTAATAATGTTGCTCTCTTTTTCTGTGATGTTAAGAGTGTAGCACAGTAGATAGGCTTCCATTCCAAGAAAAAGACAATAGCTCAGGTCTGTTTCATCCTGTTAGAATAAAAGATTGCATTAGCTGGTAAGAAATAGTTTCCAAAGGATGCAACCGAAACACTTTGGAAGTTAATGGAGCATTTAATAGACCTTGAGCCCAGCACATAGATGAGTCTTTTATAGTGAGTATAAATCACCCCATTTATTTAATCTTTAATTCTGGATAGCAATATTCTCCCCACGTCCATTTCTGAAAAAGACCTCTAGGCATATTTCCTGATGTGTCCTATGGATTGGTTCTAAATAAATTCTACCTCACTTAAGCTACACCCGAGGCATCCTACTGTCAAATGCCAACTCAAAGATTTGTAGGAAATTTATTCAACCCAAGTTCTTATCTTCTGCAGTCATAGAACCGGAATGTGACAAAAGCTCTGCAACTACTTTCTTCTGGTATCGTGATGCCCTGGACATTTCCAACTCCATTTCAGAGAGTGGTGGACTTAACTGGAGAATGACTTTATGCCTGCTGATAGCTTGGAGCATTGTATGCTTAGCGATGATCAAAGGAATCCAATCCTCAGGAAAGGTAAGCATCATGAGTGATGGGTTGAAACAGAGAATAACTTTTAGAATTGATTGATAACCCTTCTTTTAAGTCTATAGATCAGTAGTCATCCAGAGTGTTTAAGTGAATACTGCAGATTTTGTCTAAACATTTGCCAAATATAATAGTTATGCCTATTCTGTGTTCCATGATCTGATGCTTTGGGGTAGTTATTTAAAAGACAAGCATGTGAACCGGCCCATGGCAACTATGGGGGTTATATTTACCATTATCCAGCTGTTTCAGGGATCATTAGGTCTCTCTCTGTCTCTCTCTCTCTCCCTCCCTCCCTCCCTCCCTCTCTCTCTCCCTACCGATCATATATATATTACAAGATGAATGAACAAATTTATTGTAACAGTTTTGATGGGCTATGTTTACTTCACCAATGTAGGGATCTGATACATTTATTCATATTTAAAATCCTGCAAGACCCCATAACTCTTATTTCAACAGAGACTCACAAACTTGTTTATTGGTAAATGTACAGTCATGCCCATGTTGATTTTCTGGCAATGTGTGGAAGTGATTCCCATTATCTTTTTCCAAGATGTTTTTCAGTTTCTCTGTCTAGTGGACTGCCCTTCTGAAAATCATAGTTCTGTTTACAAGGAAGGCTAGGAATGTCCAGAAGATAATTTTTCTCATCTCATCAAATTGAAAATCTGAACATTTTTTATAGAGAACTATGACACATGAAAAAAAAAACGTATTAGGGTTAGTGCCTGTCAGTGCTATTGCTGATTTATGTCGCATCCTCTCCTCCCCACTTAGGTGATGTATTTCAGCTCTCTCTTTCCATATGTGGTGTTGATCTGCTTCCTGATCCGGGGTTTGCTTTTGAGAGGGGCAGTAGATGGGATTCTACATATGTTCACTCCTAAGGTAAAGACTTTTTAAAAATACCTTTACATTATTGTTAGTCCCTTGAAACTGTTCAACTGTGGTTTGCTTTCACCTCCTTCTTAGAGCTTCTTCCAGTTGGCTTTGTGTCCAACTATTAAGGCGAGTCTCCAGAGTTCTCCACTCCACATTCACACTGAGAGGTAGATTAGGCTGAGGGAGAAGAACCTTCACAGGGTCACTATGGGTACAGGTAGTCCTCGACTTACAACAGTTTGTTTAGCGACCATTAAAAGTCACTGGAAAAAGTGACGTGACCATTTTCCACATTTATAACCACTGCAGCATGTCCATAGTCATGTGATCAAAATTTGGATGCTGGGCAATTCATTCATATTTAGGGTGGTTGCAGTTTCCCAGGGTCATGTGATCACCTTTTTTGACCCTCTGACAAAGTCAACGGGGAAACCAGATTCAGTAAACAACCCTGTTACTAACTTAATGACTGCGGTGATTCAACTGCAGTCATTAACAACTGTGGCAGGAAAGGTTATAAAATAGGGCAAAATGCACTTAACTGTCTCATTTAGCAATACCAATTTTGGGCTCAATTGTGGTCATAAGTCAAGGACTTTCAGAGAGATTTTAAATTTCAGAGAGATTTTATTTCTCTACTCTTAGATGTGCTTTAAGTTGTGCCTCCCCCCCACCTCCCAATTTGGTACATGTCAGATATGTAGGAATAATAATTCAGTTGTTGGATATTATCCCAGAATGTTTGCATATTATGGAAATTTCTGCATCACTGGGTGAGTTTTTTTTATATCACTTGGGCTTTTTTTCAAAAATGCTTTGGGATGCCTGGATTGTCAGGCAGATGCCACCTGCAACTCCCAAAGCAGATATTATCCTTATCTAGAACTATGTGCCAGCTGTGGAGGGCAGCTGTATGATCTTGGCAAAGATGCAGTTTTGAGAAAGGACGAACTAGGTGCTAAGTTTGCATTCCTGAGTGGAATTTTGAAATTGAGCACCTTTGGTGAATTGAAGTCAGTCTTCCTACATTACCTTTAACTTACTTACTACAGCACTCTTTGTGTAACGCTTATTTTTAGTTTAGTTGTGATGCTGGTCCCCTGACAAATTTATTTTATGGTTTGTAATTTGATGGCTACTTATAGTTGTGTTCCAATGAGTAACAGCAGAATACAGATCAAAATTGTAACTCATCATCAAGTAAAAATCATATAAAATGATGTATGTTTTATGACTGTAACCTGCCCAGAGAATATTATTTATTTATTTTATTTTGTCAAGCAATTATAAGATAACAGGTATAAGTATAAACATAGTTATGAATACATGAAATGGATACGTATAAGAAAAATAAAAAGAAACAATAGGACAGGGACAGTAGGCACATTGGTGCACTTATGCATGCCCCCTACCGACCTCTTAGGAAAGGGGTAAGGTCAATAGTAGACAGTCTAAGGTTAAAGTTTTGGGGGTTTGGGGAAGAAACAGAGTCAGGTAAAGTATTCCAGACATTGACCACTCTGTTGCTGAAGTCGTACTTCCTGCAATCAAGTTTGGTGCGGCTTACCTTGAGTTTGTATCTATTGTATGCTGTTGTATTGTGATGGTTGAAGCTGAAGGAGATTGCAATATATAATTTTATATGCTATACTTAGATCAGACCTAAGGCAGCGTAGTTCTAAGTTTTCTAGGTCTAGAATTTCAAGTCTGGTGGCATAAGGTATTCTGCAATGAGTAGAGGAGTAGAGAACACTTGTGAAATATTTCTGGATTTTTTCAACTGTGTAAATGTCAAATACATAATGTGGGTTCCTGACTGATGAGCTGTATTCAAGTATTGGTCTAGCAAATGTTTTGTATGCTCAATTTATTGGGAAACATTAATATATATCTAATAATATATATCTAATTTAATCTAGTTTATTGGGAAACATTAATATATAAAGACTCCAAACAAATAATTTCAGGATTTAAATAGATCTTTAAAATGCCCCACTTTCTTTGGACTTGCCCATTATCATCCATAATTCCATTGGCAGAAGAGAAAGTTATTATTGGACCCTTGCCAGAATATACAAAGTATACCTACAACTTTTCTCTTTGTTTACAAGTTGTGATACTGTAGGTGTTTCCCTGCTCACCAACGAACATACAGGGGTAACTTGACCTTTCTGTCTGTGTCTCTTTTTTGCAGCTTGATAAAATGTTGGATCTCCAAGTATGGCGAGAAGCTGCCACTCAGGTCTTCTTTGCCCTTGGACTGGGTTTTGGTGGAGTTATTGCCTTTTCCAGTTACAACAAGCAGGATAATAACTGCCACTTTGATGCAGCCCTTGTCTCCTTTATCAATTTCTTCACTTCCATCTTGGCCACATTGGTTGTTTTTGCTGTGCTAGGCTTCAAAGCCAATGTCATGAATGAAAAGTGTGTGGTTGAGTAAGTACCTCCTTCCTTGTCTGTCCAGGTGATTTAGGCAGGGGACTCTAGGACATACCATTATCATTTCTGAAGTGCAGTTTTATTCCGATTTGCAATTTCAGTAATCTCTCATTCTCCTCCAAGTGGATTGCTATCTCGAGTTCACAGCAAATAGAGATCTTTTCATTATTTAGTTTCTGAAGAAGTTGCTAGGAGTAATAAAACTAATTCTTCTACATCAGCCTAAAAATGATGACTTATTTTGCTAAGAGTAGGTGAATTCATTGTATGTTGAAATCCGGAGAATGTCTCTGTAAGTACTTTTTTTTTCTATTGTAGGAATGCTGAGAAGGTCCTGGATTATCTGAACACAAATGTCCTCAGCCATGCCCTGATACCACCCCAAGTGAACTTCTCCCATCTCACAGCCAAGGATTACACTGAAATATATGCTGTGATAAAGACAGTGAAGAAGGATCAATTTGAGAAGCTGGGATTGGATCCCTGCCTGCTGGAAGACGAGCTTAACAAGGTATGTTTAAAGACTGGCATTTTGGGTCATCTTAATTCCTTTGAAAAGAAAGAGATAAACTATAGGAAAAAAAAGACACATCACAGTATAGTTCTTCCGAAGCAATATCTCTTCCAGAATGAAGACATGGTCAAATATTGCCCAAATGTCAAATCCCTTATATAAATTGACTGTAGATATTGGTCTGGTTTGTAAATAAAGATAAGTTCTTAATGTGGTTTATTTTTTACATGGTCATCACTTTGTTCTACTATAGACTGAGGGCTAGGTTAGACGCAGCTCCACACAGTCCCTCCACAGGTAATCAACCAAATGCTGTCTCAGTACTGTATCCAGATTTGACCCTAACTGAAAGAGTTCTTAATTAATCTGCTTCCTCCGGGGCTCTCTGAAGCTGTAGTCATATCACCAGTCTATTTCATTGGGGTCAACTGGCACAAACTCATTCCAAATAACTGGGCAGTCCATGCATTGATCAACTCAATTGGACTTACGAAGCCAGAGGCCAACTTAGACCTGATCTGAAGAACTTTATCTGGAAGATGTATAGAACATTCCTCATAGTGGCCTTTGATTCCAAACAGTGACTAAAGTTTCAGATGTATAAGATCCAGAGGCATCTTTGTAAAAAAAAAAGGTGTTTCAAAATAAGTGGGCTTTCTACATAATTATTTTAATCGAAAGATTTTAAAAAAAGCCAGGTGGGGCAAGGAATCTTGGAGATGCCAAAGAAAATCAGCCCACATGTGCTCTTGAAAATTATTGCTTGGATATAGGGCACGGGTATCAAATTTATGACATCATGTCATCATGTGATGTATCTCGACTTTTTTTCCCCTCGCTAAACTGGGGGTTGGCATGGCCAGTGCGTGATGCATCCAGCCCACGGGCTGTGAGTTTGACACCTGATATAGGGTATAGCAGAGCAGGGATCAGTTCTGTTCCTGGTTTATCATAGAGACATGATACATAGATCCAGAAGAATGGCTCAGACATCTTTTGTTTTTCTTGTTAATGTAATTTATTGGAGCAGAATTACCACAGCAAATGCCTCGGCCCACAATTATGTCACTGGATTTTAATGTTCTGAGGTTTCTGAAATCTATTGCCACTTAGCACTCATTTCAAGGGTACTGAGTGAAAATATCTATGATAAGAAAATGCCATTGGATGTCAAACCTGATGTGAAAGAAAGTTCCTGAATTTTCTCACTGTGCAGTAGTTTTTCCCAATTAATCCTAATTTATTGAACTGGTGGGTTTCCTTTCTCCACAGCTATTGAAAGAAAGAGGTTCAGGACTTATGGTCCATGAGTGAATCAATGTACCTGGGTCATTTGAAGTTAGTGATGTTGGGAAAACTTGAGGAACAAATACTCATCCCATCATATCTATGATATACATGCAATATAAAGCCAGAGTTTATTTTCTCTCTTGCAGAGCATGTATATATAGAAAGCAGCAGGTGCTTATGCAATCCTCAGTACATGCATGCTTTTTTTGCCTCTACTTATCCACATAGGAAATTCCCTTCATTGGACCAGAGGGTAATATGTGGTTGGCTGTTTGGCTCTGAAAGCTTGTAGTTTTACAGACAGAAATCTATTGACAAGAATACACATCCAGACACACATCTGCTTTTATAACACTCTTTCTGTTGTCAAGAATAACATAAGCATCTTCTTTTGTGGCTGTGTACAGTCAGTGCAGGGAACTGGCCTCGCATTCATAGCTTTCACTGAAGCAATGACCCACTTCCCAGCTTCTCCTTTCTGGTCAGTGATGTTCTTCCTGATGCTGATAAACCTGGGTTTGGGGAGCATGATTGGGACCATGGCTGGCATCACCACACCTATCATTGACATGTTCAAAGTGCGCAAAGAAGCATTAACAGGTAAGGCCCTTCTCAGGGAAATGCAGAGTCTAGAGAAAACTGCAGTGTGAGTAATAGGGGCAGTTTAGAGCTGATCACTCTGGACCAGGGGTTCCCAACCACTGGGCCCCAGACCGGTACCGGTCCGTGGATCATTTTCTACCGGGCCACCAGTTTGCTGGGCGCCGCCATCTTGTTTCAATGAGAAAGTGCTTCCGGGTGAGCTTTTCCGGTTGGAAAGCGGTGTTTGGGTCCTAAAGGAATCCTCGTGCTGTAGTTTCATCGAAGTGGGGGCGGCTTCAAATGAAGAGCCGTCCCAATGGCGGAGGAGATTAAGAAAGCACAAAAAAAGGTACAAAGGAGGAGTTGAAGGTGGCAGGGAGAAATGGGGGACGGCTGGCTGGCCGGTCGCTCGGCTCACCTTGCCTTGTCATGCGTGCTGATGCCAGTACCGGGCCGCAGATCATTTTGTGATGCCGGTACTGGGCCGTGGCACAAAAAAGATTGGGGGCCACTGCTCTGGACCCATTAAGCTGCAGATATCCTTTCTCTTCCTCCAACATCCTAATCAATGTTGCCACCAACACCGTTACTTTAAAAAGAAGGCATAGCCTTTTCCTTTCAACATCTGGGAAGTTAATCTTATTATCATGAAGTGATAGCTAATGTTATTAAGAAACAAACGGACTAAGTATTGGTTTATAGAACAGTTTGTGGTGAGTAGGTCTGTTTTGTGACTCTATATCATATTTTATGTATTGTTACTTGTAAATAAATCTTCCTGGTTCCAGTGAAATGTACTGTGATAAAATAATATATGTAAATGCAGCCCAAATGTAGCATATAGAAGGAGACTTGGTGGCACAGTGGTTAGAGTGCAATACTGCAAACTACTTCTGCTGACAGCCAGCTGCCTGCACTTTGGCAGTTTGATTCACACAGGCTGAAGGTTGACTCAGCCTTCCAACCTTCTGAGGTGGGTAAAATGAGCACCCAGATTGTTGGGGCCAATATGCTGACTCTGTAAACTGCTTAGAGAGAGCTGTAAAGCACTATAAAGCGGTATATAAGTCTAAGTCCTATTGCTATATAAATGGGAGGCTTCTCTGTGGGCTAAACTTGACCTTGAGTTCACCCAACTTGCACATTCTTAACTGGAGGCATCTCTAATCTGTAAGTGTTATTATATGTGCCCTCTGCTGATTTGTCAAGTAAAATTAAAGAGCTTTCTCTGCAATACATCATACCAATAAGTCAAGTTTCTCCCAGACTTATTTATAGCAAAATTTGTTTTACCTTTCTCTAAAGATAAGTTATACTGTTTGTCCCATGATATTTTGCAAGCTTTTGCATGTTTACTTGGAAGCAATTCCTATGGGAATAACCCCCATTTTCTGCTTACTGTCAGTGTAGCATGCACACTGAAATCATGTTTTTAAACATAGGAAGACTAAGTACCATGCTTTGTTCTGTCTTTAGTTAGCTTCCTTATAGAAATGAAGAGGAATTGCTTAGCATAAGAGGATAGTTCTTACTATACATGTAAGAAGTTCAGCTGGATCCTGCATTTGGTCTGTTACACTCATTTGCCTGTTTTGCCACTGAATGCACATGCCAATTATGTCATGCCTAAACATACAATAGAAGTGCATTCATTTATTCCACAGTATGGATTATATTCATGATTTGTGAACTTCTATTTAGGACTTTTTATTTTGTGCATTATTTTTTAGGCAGTATAATTGTATCCATAGGACAAACATAACAAAATATGTTAACCAGACAAACATAACATCCCTTCCAGAAAGTTATGTGTATTAACAATTGTCATCTGCTCCTTACAGTTGGCTGTTGCATTTTTGCTTTCTTCGTGGGTCTGATCTTTGTGCAACGCTCAGGCAACTATTTCGTCACCATGTTTGATGATTATTCTGCAACGCTGCCACTCACTCTTGTGGTAATTCTGGAGAACATTACGGTGGCTTGGATTTATGGCACCAAGAAGTAAGAGTTCTTTCAAAAGAAATCAGCGGAACTGGTGTTCTTATATTTTTTCCTTCTTTTACTTCTAAAACCATTTTATATAATGAGCTTACTTGATTGCAAAATCCTCAGATTTCTTGATTCTTCTTTAGATTTCTAGTGCAGCAAAGTTTCTTGATTGAATTTCTCTATCCAGTATGAAATAAAAAGGCAGAAATCTGGCATATGTGCTTCACTTGTTCACTTTCTTCCTTCTTTATTTTTAGATTCATGCAGGAATTAACAGATATGCTGGGTTTCCGGCCTTCCTGCTATTATTTTTATACATGGAAGTACATTTCACCCATCTGTATGGCTGGCCTGATGACAGCCAGTATAATTCAGCTAGCAGTCAATCCACCAGGTTATAGTGCCTGGATAAGAGAAGAGGTGAGTCTGCATAAATTATACCTCAACATTTTCAAATCCATAAACTGTGCATCAGCATGAAACTGATCCATTTTATTTGCATAGGCTGCTACATATCAATTGAGCATAAACTGCATGACAACATGTAATAAAGTCACTGAATCCTCAGTGCAGATGAAATTATTTAAATACTAGATCAGGGCCCATATACATTAAGGCAAAGGAACTCTTTGTCAGCTTTGAAATTCAGCTGCCACATAATGGAAGGGCGGGTGGAAGAGTTGAAAAGTTCAAGGTTATTCTGTATGTCGTACTAAGAAATTCCAGTTGCAGTTAATTGATTCTCATGATTTATGAAGTGTAGAAGTGGGAGGAGAGAAGGTGGATTCTGTGTAACTTGCCGAAAATACTTTCACTTTGGGAAATTGTCTTAGAGGTACCAGATCTGTTCCTAAATAAATCAATTGGAGAGAATATGTCTTGGAGTGATTGATATCATGGATACTTTCTGGATGCCTTACACTCTTGTTCTGACAACAATATGCTGATTGTACATTACAGGTCCAAAGAACTGATATATTTTCTTCCTGTTTCAATTAATCCTTTTAAGATGGCACCATTTTTATATATCACAGTTTCATAGGTTTTAAAATAAATTATATTTTGGCAGGGCACTACAAAGACTGACTGAAAAATGGTTTAAGCATTTGTTCCTTTTGCAGTGAATTCCTCAATTATGAAAGTGGTGAAAACAGCCATTTTTTCCCACTTTTCAAACAAAAGTGACTTGGTTGAGTTGGGTGGCTATAGTAATAAAATAAATAAATAAATCCTCACTAGTCAACAATAGGGAAGGATTGTACATATATCAGTGAGAGAATAAATGTAAAGTAAAGGAATCCCTGCGGCTTTTACTCTGCCAATCATAGCCAATTCTAGACTACTAGAATTGTATTTTTATATTCTTGGAGGTGTAAGCTACCTAAAGTGAATAGTGGCTAGGAAGCAGACAAATTGTTGACACAGAAAAGAAAGAACTTACCTATATGAAATTAAGAGAAAGGAAAATTGTTTACTGCTAGCAGTTTAATTCCTGTAAACATCTCCTTTCAAAGTGTATTCCTTCTCTAAAAGGTGATGGATAAGGAATTGTTTTATGCTTGAGTTCTAAAGAATTGCTAAGCTAATTCACTTAAATTAATGTATGCATAATACCAATAATGTATGCCAAATTACTTTTCCCTTTTCCTTCCAGGCGGCGGAGAAATTTCTCTACTACCCCAAATGGGCAATGGGCATACTTGTGTCTCTGATCATCTTGGCCACCCTTCCTCTGCCTGTGATCTTTGTCCTCCGCCAATTCCATTTGCTGTCAGATGGTTCTAATGCTCTGTCGGTCACATACAAAAAGGGGCGTATGATGAAGGACATATCCAACTTAGAAGACAATGATGAGACCCGTTTCATCTTGAGCAAAGTTCCTAGTGAAACCCCTTCTCCAATGCCTGCACATCGCTCTTACCTGGGCCCTGGGAGCACGTCCCCAATGGAAATGAGCAATGTTGCCAATGGACGCTACAGCAGTGGGTACCTCATGGATACCACTCCTGAATCTGAACTGTGACCATCATCCAGTACCCTTCCCCTACTTCCTGGGTGAAAGAGAAGATAGTCCTAAAGGAGGACATCTGTTCTTTTAAAAAAACCTTCCCATCCTGCATAGCAACCAGAGGTAGATGATATCAAGGGTAAAAGGTTGAGAAGGAAAGTTGCTTTCCTTCTGGTGCTCTCCAAATGAAATACCAGAATTTTCCTCAGTGAATAATAGTAGTCGTAGGACATTGCAATAAATCTTATGGGAAAAGAGAAATTTTAGCTAATTGGTATTGAAAAACACAGATAACCTGTTTCAAGAAATCTAAGATTGGGGGAGAGAGACGGAATAAGGAAACAGCCGAAACAAAAACAAGGAGCAGCTGGTTCCCTAACTCTCTCCATCTTTTTCTCCATCTCTTACTTTTAGTTAGGATAAGAGGCCTTTTCCCATTTGCTGAATAACTACCACGATTCATAGCACAAGATTTAAAAAGCCCAACATGTATTCTACCAGGACCATATCCAAGTTGCACAGTCTTGGTGAAGAATTCTTACAACTCTTCATTAAGATACATTTTATGAAGACAGCACATTAGAATGCTTGCTGTTGCATTAGGTGAGATTGGTGATGTTATTGCTGAAGATGGATCAAAAATTGAAGGGTATTTTGTTCCAGTGAAGCTGGCCGTGGTATGCATGCTGCTGAGACTCACAGTGTTCCTCTATCATCAATTCAGGTTTGTGCCATGCGTGTCAGTCAGAACCAAAACTTAGCTCTATCAGTGTAGTTTTCTTGGATTCATGATGTCATTCGTGACATTATTTATAGACCTCTGATTAAATGCTGACATTAAATGTTTTATGAAATATAGAACATAGCAAGAACTACTCCAGTAGCAGTTCTTTTTTACAATAGAGATAGAGAGAATCAGTAGCTCTCCAGGCTGTTGTTAGATTTCATTGGCATCAGCAAGGAAGGCTAATGATAAGGAATGCAGGGAACTGCAGTGCAACAACAACAGAAGGGCTTTAGGTTCTCTTCTCCTGTTATGTGGGCACACACTAAATACATGGAATGATCTTCCTATATTATAATTTGGGAAGGAATGACAAGCACATTAAAAAACATTGACAGCACATTTCCTTCAACATAGCACATGTGAATTATGTCCCCCAGCCAGGATTAGTGTGGTGGGATTATCAAACTTTCTTAACCATGTTTTATATTTTATACCTAAGATAATTTAAACGTTTTCTTCAGACTGTTACCTCTGTTTTCTTTTAACTGCAGTGAGGAAGATAATTGCATATATATCAATCACAGTATCAGATATTGATAGAATCGATAAGCTTACTAAAGTCTAGTGGCAGAATTCTTGCCTTCCACTTAGTCACATTCAATTAGTGATTCAAACAAGCAGTTCCAATTTTTAAAATCATTTAAAAAACATTCTTCTCCTCCTCCTCCAAAACTGTACAATTTATATGCGGGAGTTCAACCGTTATAAGTCTGTACAAAGTTGTTCAGGTAAACCATATAATTAATGAACATTTTAAACAACTTTTCCCCTCCATTTTCATTTCGTCCTTCTCTAGTTTTGATATTTAAAAATTCCCACTTGAAACTTGTGGACTGAAATATCACCGTCTGATTTTTTTTAACTAGAAAATAACACATATTGGGAGGAATATATTACAGCATAAATCATTTGCAGAAGATGCTTTAAGAGTTTATGTGCAGAGAGTTGGATGGATAGATTTGGACTAGATGCCTGCAATGGTACAAAAGATTTATAGAGGCCACTTTAAATGTGATTACTGGGATTGCCTCTCTATGGCCAGATGGTCGTTAGTTTCTGAGACTAATGTTATGCACAATTCTCTAGGAGTAAACAAAAACAACAAAAAGAAAAATCTCATGCTTAGAACATTATTGAGAACCTGAATCTGCTGGAATATTAATCACCAATAATACCTTTAAAGTTGTGTCTGGAGCATTGTGAGAAATTAAAAAGGTGATTAGTCAGTGGATGGTACTTATGATATTTTCAGAGTATTGCTGTCTGCCACCATCAGTTAAGGCTGATTTTTATCCTGCTTTGAATATACAACATATCTTAACTTTACAAAGTCTCTTCTAAGTGGTGGAATAGAGAAAGGTTTGAATTTGTGTTCGGCATAAATCAGCAATTAAACAGAAGCCAAGTTCTGCTGTCCTAACTCTACCTTGTTCTATTCATTGGGCTTCCGGAGCACAATGTGGCCCAACACTGAACAGTATATCACAATGCTTTAAATTAATGTCAGGAACCCCAATTATCCAGGATGTATTCATTATGCAATAGTGAAAAACAAGTAGTTTATTCCCATGGAGGCAATGAAGTGTCAGTGGGGAAATGTCAAGATGTCAAGAAAATGATAAAGAATGCCCTACTTTCCAGAGGCTTAGCGTTTTTACAGTAAGAGCCTTTCTAGAATGTTTCATGATGTTTGCCTGTACCGTTGCATTTAAGGTCACAATGTTTTTATTCATTTCAGCAGACAATGGATTCTTTTTTTGTTCTTGGGGTTCAGATTTGACTTCAGAGTACTCAGGTAACCTGGAGGATTATGCATAATTATACTTCAATTTCTCCTTTTCCACATGCTACTTTAAGTAAGCCTGTGATATATTACAACCTGAATAGACAATGGGGTAGCTAAGTTTATATTTCAGTCCATTTCTGGCCTTTTTTAGTCCACTCATAAAGTATCACATTACTAGTTATTTTATCTAAGTCCTGTAAAAGCAGCAATTTTGCAAAAAAAAAAAAGAAAAAAAGAAGAAGAAGCCATTTTCTGTGATTGTTCTACATGTTTCCTAGTCAGGAATAAATCTTTTGGATATAAGTCAATATAATTCCACTAGAATCAAACTAAATGACTGCTATTGGAAATCTGGTCCAGCTGCTACAGATAACAGGATTATAGAATTAGAATAGAATTCATAAATAAGAGCATGCCTTTGAGATAATGTGAGCATCAAGTATGATCAATACTCAGTATCAGTCATTCTGGCTAGGGCTGATGGGAACTGGAGTTCACAAATATCTGAAGATCCATTTTTTTTAAATATAGGAAACCTAGTACCTCAGCACTAGCAGTAATCTGCTGTGAAGTCTCTCTTGGAGGTCATCCATTGGTCCCAAGCAAACAACTTACTCTGTCAATGGGCCTTTTCTAATTGTTAATCTTCCTTTTCCTTTTTTAAAATCAACTTGTTCATTTAGATCCTATATATAGAAGAGAAAAAACACATTAGTGCATCATCTATATGACAACCCTTCAAACATCTGAAGTTGCTGTAATCTCTTGATCATTTCTTTAGGTAAGCCACTTGCTCAAAGAAGCAAATGGGTACCAGTGTATGGCACTGTTTTTCCATTTCCACTACAAGGTTGGCCGATGTACTCCAACTTCCCTTCACTCTTTTCTCCAGTCATTTATGCAGATATATTACAACAGGCTAAGAATATGAATCAAATAGTATGCAGAAACACTTGCAATCATTTTAAGACTATAGGAACACTTTTCACTGCACCCACTGGAGTTAAATACTCATCCAGATATTATCATGTTAAAATTTCCCTGTATAGTTCTGTATTCAAAAACATGAAAATTTGAAAGAAGACAAGTTGATTCAAAGCAGTTACTGATCAGGAGGATAAGAATTATGGCAGATTGCTTTTGACTATCATATACCCTGAACAGGTGATTATGGCAATTGTACAATGAATGTTAAAAAGGCAGAGTCTTTTTTGTTACTTCAGCCCTAACTATTTTTTACACATGACTATGTAATATAAAGTTGTGTATGTTTTGAAAAAGATTTGAAAAAAGTGCCCAGAAAGTAGAAAAGGCTTCTATGCTATTTCTTAAAACAGCTCTAACTTTTTAAGGCTCCTATATAAAGTTTAAAGAACTTCATCTTTTTCCAGGTTTGTACAGAGAGCTGAAAAAGCTGGACTGCTGTAAGAAATAATAGTACTATTCTTGTCTGATTTAGAGCACTTGCATCCAATCTTTTTCAAAGCACGCACAGTTCTATAGACAGTAGAAATAAGTCTTGTGCAGTTTATTTTCAGGCTACAAAAAAAATCACAGCTGACTTCAGGGTGATTAAAATAGAGTAATTGTTAATGCTGGAATCAATTAATTGGAAGCAATGCTGCAGTTAAAGAGGGTTCAGAAGGGACTTTCTCCTAGAAACATATTTTGTGATGACTGCTGTTTTAGAAATTAAGAATATTAGTTGGTTAAGATGTGAAAGACAATCAAGGGTGGGTTTCATTAAACCTTCTTACTTTTTCCTCATTACACGACAGACACTGACAGTTCTAGGACAAAGGTTCTTTTCAGAATAGTGTTTCAATTATTGATTTTAGCAGATTTTTGTTTCCTGTTCTTTGATTCTTCTTCTGACTTCTCTGTATATCCTTGACAAGCAGAAATCATGTGAGCTTGTGATATGAGCAATTAAATGGCTGTTTTCTTTTTTATAGAGAGATTGTAAACATGTTTTAAGGTGAAGAAGATACCACTTGTTGTTTTTTTTTATGAGTCATGAAAATAAAGAATGAATCAAGTAGGGATAAAAAAAATATCTGCTAGAAGGTTCCATTTCTTTTTTTATTTATCTTTTGATTGTTTTTTTTCCCCCTGTGGACTCCAAGAGGAAAAAAAAATATTGCCCAGTCCCTGTTGCCTAGAGATCATGCAAAATGTGAAGGCAATAATTGAAGAAACTAATTGCTGAATACAGTGTTTTTCCCTTCCTGTCCATATTGCTCTCTCCCGAAGACTTTTTTTTTGCATGGAGGCAACTTTTCAGATATTTCCAGATTTCTTGATTTGCTTTGTGCACCTTGGGACATGTTTGAAGTGCCATTGGGCTGACCAGAGCTAATTTCATGTAATACCCCTTTATTGGCTTCTCAAGGAGAAGCTAGCCTAGGGAAAGTGTTTCCACAATGGATCCATAGCATTTCCTTCCTTCTTTTGGGTGGTGTATGATCAGTGGCAGTGGGAAGATGA